TGCTCTTTTTCAAGGACAGCTGTGCCAGAGCTTGTGACTGACCCAAGGTCACATCAGCAGGTGCAAGTGGAGGAGTGGGGAATCAAACCCGGTTCTCCCAGATTAGAGTCCACACACTTAACCACTACACCAAACTGGCTACAAGATTGCCCCACCCCATACCCTTATTAGGAAAGAATCCACCACCACCACCAGAGAAACCTTAATTGCAGATAAGGGATATATTGATTAACTCTGACCAAGGTTCTCATTGAACACGGATTTTAAATCAGCATCTTGCGATTGGCTTCTGGCCGCATAAAGCCAGTGTTACGTCTGCGCCTGCCGTATGACATATGCGTTTAAATGCATTTCAGCAGAAGCTACGTTTTGCATTCGATTGAGGGAATGAACCTAACATTTAATGTTTGCACTCCTGGGAGGTCTGGGAGTGAAACTGGGACTGTTGTTTACTCAAATCATTAGTATTCAAAGGAATTGGGGGGGGGGGTTTAGTTCTTTTCGAAAAGCAATTCCGATAAGAGTGTTCTCTGCCTCCCTCTCTAAGAACTATTAGCAGCAAAAACAGATGCTCTGAATACTGCAGAGCTTATCAGAACAGAGAGCGGCGGGTGGATTGGAGGCTCAGAGATTTGCTAATGAGCTTGGAGCCTTTTGCTTCTAGGTCCCTGGTTCCAGCCCTCCTCGAGCCAGTAACAAGTGGCTGTGGTGACCAGTGTTCCCTCTAAACTGAGTTAGTGTGAGCTAGCTCACATTTTTTTTAGCCTCCGGCTCACACATTTTTGTCTCAGCTCAGGGAGGATGGCTCCAGAGCAAACTAGGTTATGCAGCAGCCAAATGGATCGCTCACAACTTTAATGCTAGTAGCTCACAAAGTAGAATTTTTGCTCACAAGACTCCACAGCTTAGAGGGAGCATGGGTGGTGACCCTCTGCCTCCTCGTCTAGTAGCCTATAAGAAGTGGTTTGGAAATGAACTCGTGCTTAGGGTGGAAGAACTCTGCTTGCCAGGATCTCAGATACAGAACGGAACAAGCGGGAACCCCCAAGGACGGGGAAATCCCTGGAGATTTGGAGGTGGAGCCTGGGGAGGGAAGCCGCCTTAGCATGGTATAATGCCGTAGGGTCCACCCTCCAAAGAGGCCACTGTCTCCGGGGGGGGGGGGGGGCGGTCCTCAT